TGCACACGCCTCAGCCGCACGATTCTCTACTACGACCTGGCTACTGGTCCAAGAGACCGGCACGCGTCCAACAGTTGTTATTACTTTTATGTAAGAGACGCGGGGCGGCTGGCCTTTTATCGCTCTCGTTGCGCCGTCCCGCGCCAATGTTAGAACAAGCGTACAGAATCAGTGAGTCACTGGCGTTTCGATTTCCCACCGTGGTTTCCTGCGGTAATTCCAATAGTTACCGTTTAAAACAGTCGAAACATTTACCATGCTAAAACAATTTCAGCATTTGCCATAGAAAACCGCGAAGGCACGTTCAGACTATCGATATTTATCGTCGATATTGACGAGAATGTCGAATATCTGGAAATATCGACAGTCTGAACGCCGAGTCTTTGTCCTACTCGAGCAAGTAAATCGAAAATATACTTTACAATTTTTTCATATGACGCTTCGTTTCTGAGAAAATCGAGTTTGAAGATTTGTCGAGTATACCCAAACTCGGCTACGTATCGATTTGGTACGAATAAACGGTACGAACAGCGAGTAAACGATTCAGGGCCTCGTCTTCAAGAAAATAGAATTTGGTTAAGAACTGATCCAACGCACACGCACGATACGCTTTCAAATTTATTTTCCTCGAAAACGAGGCATCTTACGAAGAAATTGTATTCTACATTTTTGACTTATTTTCACGCGCAGTTTAAACTATCGTTGATCGTATTCAGTGCAGATTTAGCCAAGTTCAAGTATACTCGAGACAGTTTTAAACTCGATTTCCTCAGAAACGAAGCGTTACACGAAAAGAAATGTATTCTACGTGTTCGACTTAGTCTTCCTCCACCCGGTTATATCGCACGTTATCGGACACCCTGCATAAGACATGTTCAAATTTTATTAGAACTGCGACAAGATACGACTACCGCGATTATATCAGCTTCGAAGCTAATTCGACGGTGTATGAAGTTGCAACGTACTAGCTAGAAGTTTCAAGATACACGCTGGAAATGTACATTTAGTAGAAAATTAGTATGTAACACGAATGAATCGCGTTGAACGTACAATTAGAGCTATCTATGGTTAAATATCGAGGATTGTTAACCCCTTGCGGTCGGTGTATTATTCTGGTAGCACTATCAACTAGTCGAAGCAGACTGTAAATACTCGAACGAATAATTGCCGCCGTTGTAGAGACATTGGACGACAAAGGCTTAAATGGAATAGCCGATCGACTGCCTAAATATTTCGATGTACGTTAACGCATGAAACGTTTAGCCATCTTCGTTAATTACAAACTTCGCCATTCGAATCGCATCGAGCAAACACGGACTCGTGTAACATCCAAACACTGGACAATCTTTGGCACTGAACGTCCTCAGACATCGCACACTGTACATCTTGGAGCATTCACGCAGTAGATATCCCGCTAAACATCGTACAGCTTTAAACATTCAAAGTGTAAGCATCGAACAAACACTTTAACATACACACGATGCAATCAGCGTAATCATCCATTCAAGTTGTATCGATGTTTAAATTTCATTGTCTATTAACTAAACACGATTGTTTGCTTCGGTTCCTCTCTGTTCGCGTACACCGTGGCTGAATAATATATCATACAATTACTCGGAACGCATAGCTCTCGTCGAGGACAAATAAACAACATCAGAGGCAAATACAGATCTGTCACTGCGAATCGATTCGCCTGAACGAAGTGAACGCGCCTGAATCTTCACTGGCGGCCCCGATGTCACTAGTCGGCGAAATGATTTAGGCGAGTTAGGCGGCCAGCAGTTTTCGGGCATCGTACGAAAATATACGTATCCGTAATCACGAATCCGGATTCCGATTTCCAGGAATCCCTGGTCGATTTCTTCTAAGCGTGTCCGTGTTTCCTGGTATACCCTGGCCGGCCATTGATAATCTAAATATAAACGCCACGAAGTCGGCCGTGTAGGAGGAAAGCGTGCCGCTCCCCGGCGTGACCTCATGCGCGAGTTACCACGGGGTTATCGTGCGTGTAACTCGTGTCCCTTATCGGTTATCGTTGCCACGGCGGCGCCATCACCGTCGAAAAAATGTGCCCGCCAGTTTCACCGGCTGATTCAAACACGGAGAACGCCGCTCCCTAGGGAATCGACCCTTCGAACGTGACCCGTGACCCTTCGTTCTTTCGTTTCCCCTTCGGAGATGTATTCTTATATCCGGGATAAGATAACGCGATATTTTGTACGATTGATCGATCCGAAGGGAAGTAAAGATTGGAGATTACAAAGAGGTCAGTCTTTCCTCACTGTTTTCGATTATGGCAGACGTTTTAGAATAGCCTACACGAGGCCAGAAGTTAACGATACTTGGAGGTTCTAGGGGGTTGAAGATTATGAAAAGGTTAAATTTTTTTTAACTGTTTTGAATCGTGAAAATTTGTTGACCAGATTTGTTATCCCGTTCCCCGTTTAATCGGTTCACCAGGAGGAGACGAGCCAACTCGTTACTCAGATTGCCAATCCCGTGAGTATTTCTTTGTTTACCGATTCGCGTAGCTGTCGTTTTGCTTTATAAATAAATTATATTATATTCGTATTTAAGGGCTGCGAAGAAGTCTTTGGCTACCAGGCTGAAAGAGATTGCTGCACGATGCTGACAATCGACGATGAGATTGCGTTTACGAGTCGTGGAACAGGTGCCAATTTTTCTGCCAGATCGTGGCCAATATCGAGGGTAGGTACAGAAACTTTCTCGTACACTATCTTATGCCTGTTATAACGAAATATTTTGAGCTCTCATTAACTCCGCAATAAGACTCGATTACGATTATATCGTGAAAATGTACATAGAAGCTACGAGATAATATTTGGTGGTAGTGTATGTCACAGAGATCGTAAAAGTATTTAAGGAGTCGATTATTCGTAGTATTGACAGGCTAGGACGTTCAAAAATTCGTGCGCAGTAGAATTATTAGCTACTTTATACGTAATAGGTTAACAAAACGAAGGTGAAGATTAAAATCTGATCAAACGATGCGAGTAAATTGGTAATATCAGCTGATCGATAACGTAGAAAGCGTGGGAAAGGGCGCGAGAAATATCCGTGTATTTTGCAAAATTGTAATTTATTAATAAACTTTTGTAAAGGAAAGATCTCGATAATACATATTGTACAAAAAGATGGTAACGAAAAAAAAAAAAAAAAATTGAAAGAAAAGAAGGAAAAGACAGATATCTGAAACTTATTTTTAGACAAAGTTACATTCCGGTAATATCGATTTCAATAGAAAACAAGTTATTTATTTTCCAGATAGACCGACTTTGATCGATATTTTTATGGTTTTCTTGCTTTAGTAGGATACTGTTATCTAGCCATACGGATGTATGTTCGGGGCCTAAAGGGACCCAATTATACGCACATAATTTCTAGGGTCACTCGTATTTCGTGACCCCCGTTGTATTTCAGCCTGATGTTTGTTTCTTGTTTTTCACCAAACCCCATGGAGGTCTAAAAATATTGTAAACTGACCTTTGGGTGAATATCTCGAGTCATTGGCATCTACGTTTCCTCACTTGCAACCGAGCTACAAACCATAAATCAGATAACGTAGTCATTCACAAAAATGTTTTTGTGAATACAAGGACTCGATCGACAGATTAGTTGATCGCTCGATCGTATTACCCTGCTCCGATCGATGAATTATTAGTAGGACGACCGACGGATCGATAATTTCGTAAGAAACGTAATTTCTGGAACGATAGAGGACGCACGCGATTTCAGTTAATTATGCATCGCAGCGATTCTCTCGTAAAAGAACCGGAAATAAACTTTATAGAGGCGTCGCGTCGCAACTGCTTTCAAAGCGGTCGTGAAGTCGGAATTTACAAGCTCGTAAATCAATGCTGTGACGAACAAGAGAGTGTTAGCAAAATAATGCCTCGTCACTGGGTGGTCCTATGATAGATACTGCTTCGTGGAAATATTAAACAGCCTTGGCGAAACACGATTCGGTAGAAATGCGGCGTGGAAGTAACGCTTACTCCGAAATAAAATTTCTCAAGAGGCATTATGGGTCGTTTATTTCGGAAATGGAGTTCCCCTTTGTTTCGAAATATCGAGGTGTTCGCGTTTCTGTCGATTGAAATATCCTGTCGAGGTCTACGTAGTTCGTCCATTTCTCTATGCGTTTAAGTAAGTGTAAATTCATTATGCGAATATACTTTTATCATTTACATTACGTTCACATGATATTTTTTGTTTAAATTAACCAGACCAATGTGTTTTTTCAGAGTCACGAATGGACCTGCACCGCTCACGAAATAAACGATCTATTTATTTAAAAAAATAGAGATAAGATACATAAAAGTTATAGTGGTTTATGAAAGTATTTGCAGACTTACGGATACTTTTTACGAACATATCATGTACGTTGTACGATATTATTTAACGATCCAACTTCTAATTTATGCTATCATTTACGAGATAACGGGGGAATGAAGATTTTTAATAGATCTTTACTAATCGTAGGTAAATCCTTCCTCTGCAAAGAAGTTCCGACAAAGCGATCACAAGATGATGGTCTGAAACAAAATTACCAACGCACGTATACCTCGTAAGTACATTCATGCCGCATGATTGCTTCTTGGCAGAGGCTTCTGCAGCGGAAAGGTTAATTTCTTGATATTAACTCAAGCAACCAGTTTAAAGTTCCGCGTGCGTCCCGCAGATTACTCAAATTTAACCCAATTAAGGTTCACCAACAGTTCACACATAAATCCAGTTATTTTAACGAAGCGTTTCCAACATTTCTATAACTCTGTCTAGTTATGATCAGACAAATTTACGTATACTTGACAAGTTATGTAACTCGAGTGTCTGGAAGACGAAACCTCCAACGTTACTTTATTATTTTTGATTTTCTTGCTCGAGCCATAGAATCTCTCTGGCTTCGATCACGTTACCACGTAACGTGAATTATTTATTCTCGTTCGTAATTACTTGTTCGAGTCACTTAAGCTTCGACATCCTAAAATTCAATCTTGCTTTGTACATTGCGCGACATCGCTAGTCCTTGATATAATAACCAGAGAATGAGAAGATATCCCGTACTTCGGATCCAACGACGAAGAAATATAGAAAACGATAATATGGCTCGAATAACCCTGTGGTGGGTGATCTTAGAAAATAGACAAGAGAAGTTTACTACTTATGTGTTGCATCAAGCCCATTTTCACAGAAACGACGAACCATCGGTGTGATTCTAATTCCACGCGTTTCCCGAGATACTTTCCGTGACCTCGCACGAATTTCATCGGGCGATAGGGGAAGGATCGTCGATCAGCGTGCCTGCCGTGTACCGACAAATTTCTCTCGTGCGTCTCGTAAAAAGGTCCATTACCCGTGCGAGAATAATTGCGACAATAAAGACTGCCGGTTTCAATTATAACGCAGCTGACCATTAACGGCCGGTTTCCAACGCTCGCGACCACACTCTCGCCTTCTTCGCCAACCTTTTTCTCGCCATCTCTCATTTCCAATTGATTGACCTCTGAACCGATGTGAATGTCCAAGATAGCGCGGCCCGTTCCGTTCCGTTCTCTATCTCTGTCTCTGTTTTCACCAGGGGAGAGAGCAAAGCTTGGATGTGTCATGCACCTTATTGAATATCTCTGGTGTTTGTCCGCGAGAACGGCCATTACGTATGAGCGCGTCTTTTATGTATATAATAATTGTTGCACTGGCTGCCGAGGGGTAAAGTTTCATGTTTAAATATAGAACAATAACAGAACGAGAAGCGGATGAGAACAGCGTAATATTCCGAATATTTAGTCGGCTGCCGCGGAAAAAGCTTCGATTGATAAGGAGGAAGAGCCGAGCGAGGCCGATGCTCGATTCTGACGGAACTGGCGGCGCTCGATGGAGATTTCATTGAAACGCTTTCATTTCTTCTATTTTCCGTGAATGCTGGTTTCGGCTAAGTGAGAATAGGTCTCTTTTCCGAAATTATAACGTCCAGTTAGGCCTTCTTCTGGAATAACGCAAATCAGTGCCGAAGAGATTCTGCGAAAAGGATAAGCCGATGGTTTCAAGACCAGAAAATCAAGTTTGATAGAACTTTGTAGCGAACGAAAGTTTTGTTAAAACACTTTTCGTTTACTTTCGACGAATGCTGGTCTGCGTTAGGCTTAGGTGTGAAATTATTAGTAGCGGGGCTATAGAAAGCGCGAAGAGCTTAAGGATACAAAAATTTGAGTCGTATGGAACTTTATGGTAGCTGGAAATTCTATTACGAGTTTAAGTTCGCGTTAAGACACCCATTACGAAACGTTTCTTCTATTTTCGGTGGATATTGGCCCGTGAACCGTTTTCACCCTAGAAACGACTGTGCTCGCTTTTAATATACCAAATCGTGTAAATATAAATAGGTTCGTCGAGTAGCCGATTTTATATGTATGCTATTTTCATTTCAATGCGATTTGCAAAGAGAGGTGCCGTGACTTTCATCGATGCATTTCACAGATTAGTTGGACAAAAAGTTCGAGTGGAATTGCACAACGCGTGTAATTACACGCGAGAGGCGCATGTTCCGCGGAGCAACGTTCAGGGTGTGTTTTCTACGAACCGGTTACGACAATTGTGTAACCAATGTTTTCTCAATCAAGCGCTGTTTAGGTTCGACTCGGCGTATTTAGCAGGCTCGAGGTTTCCGGCTCGTTAAGGATCAAGCATCGAAACGCGATTAAACGTAAACGCGTAAAAGCGCGACATCATTGAAAAATATAAATTACAGGTGGCCGATCATTTTGTGATTCCATTGGCACTTTGGCGAGACACGTGTGTCATGATTATATCGGTATAATTTGAAATTAGTTTGAAGATGTATAGAAATTACGAGTACCTATCGCAAAAATACATATATTTAATAAAAAGTTAGTATACAGCGAGAGTAGTTATTTTAAGTATATTATAAGTGCTAAATATGGTCTCACCGGATATCGAGGTTTAAATGGATAATCGATTACTTAAATATTTTTGCGATCTCCGCGAAATGTACATATACTTGTGCTAAATATCTTGTTATTTCTATATATGTGCCGATGATTACGAAAGTGGTCCAAGTCACGCATTTCTCATTTCGAGATATTTCAAGTCTCGCGTTTAACGCGTGAACGAAATTCTGTTTAACGACGTAACAACCAACTCGATTCTACAATTCTTAACCCTAACCCTAACCTTAACCTTAACCTAACCCAAGCAACTTAATCTGACACTTCAATTTCTACTACTTTGCGAAGATGATTTCGGATGATTCAAACATAAATAGACACAACGCGAAGTCGGCTTGCGTAAAATCGAAATGATGCGTATTGCTACTCGTGAATCGCCATTGATATTCGATCACGTTCGTTCGAAATCGAGGGGAAGAATTAGTATTTTACTTTTTAAGATATCGATGTAAGACAAAGGAAAGAAAATTGAATTGTTTTTATCTTTAGTATCAGACGAAATAAATGTACGTTGTATGCTGGTATTTTTATGCAAGCTACATCGAAGTACTTTATTAGAAAAAAAATTCAATCGGGACGAAGAATTACGATCACACGGAGCAAATTCCTTGGTGATAAAAAAAATTACGGTCGCGCTCGTGAATGAAGTTCGTCACGACCGCGATCGTGATTCTGCCATCACTGTGATAAATCAATGTTAGCGACTTCGCGTGCCATCTTTATTTCATAATCACCGACACACGTATCTTCAAAGTTGTTTGGGCCAGATTTGTAGTTAGTTTGTCGTCAGTTCATAATCGTGATCAGACTGAGAAACGTTTATGCAGTCTCGTATCTTTACAAATTTAAAGCATGGTATTCGTGTAAATTGCGTTACTTATTAAATATCACAACGAGTAGTATGCATATATTGCAACATGTTTTAGATATTCTGCATATTTTCGCATATTATCTGCGACCTGTGTATTCTTGTGTCTTCGGATTTCCCGCAAGTGCGTGAAAATCCGACTTTCACCACAGTGCTAATGAAATCTCAAAATGTTTTATATTTCACACACGATGCGGACATAAAACTTTTCTATGACAAGTGTTGGAGCATTTTCGTGAACCAGTGTATGTGTCTATCGACATAGCGAGCAGATGCTATGCGACGCGAAAGTTTTCCGACCGGTATAACGATAAGGGTGTCGTCGACACCACTTCGTTCCATCGACACAGCCAGGTCGATCGTGGCGTCTGAACTTGGACCTCGACGGCGTAAATCAGCAAAACAACTATCGACAGATTGCATCCATAATTGTATTTTTATACTCGGGTGTTCACGCGCTGCTCCCCTAGACAATTTGTATCTGCTGCTCGTCGAGAAATTCCTTGATCGTACGTAGAATCGTTACCAAATAGAGAAACGGGACAGGACACGGTAAATGAAATCTTCTAAACAGATAACGAGCAATTATCGTCGCGTCTTCTGTAGCGATCGACGGAAACTCTGTCTTTGATCTTCATCTGCTCCTCACCTCCGCTATGGATGTTCCTTTTTCTGCTTTCGTCGGGGATCGATATAAAAGCGTTATCAGTGATAATTTTCGTAGATTTTTCTGAAGCCTTAGGATCCTGTTTTATAGCATGAATTTAGTAATATATTCGGTAAGATCGGTACTCGAATCGATAGAGAGACAAAGATGATTCAAAATATAAGAAACATTCATTTTTCTGCAAAGAGAATACCAGCGAGAACATAGAAAATAATAAGATCCTTCTTAACCGTTTTGCGTGGCTCACTTAGTTGCATCCTCAAAAGTAAGAGCGCAAAAATCTGCTATAAAAATGAAACGCGCAGACTCTGATTAGAAAAGACGAAAGCTTCGTTGGAAGCTAAGGGTAATGTTCCGATAAGTTTCATAGCCACTGTACGCTCTAAAACTGTATTCTCATAATTCATTCACCACAGTCGACTCTGAAATGACCTAATCATACAGCTGACCGGGGGTTAAGAAACCAAAGACCTACGAAGACCCCACGTCTGAGGTGTCGCGACCGATTATTTCGGCGCAGCCTGAAAAAAAGATGGACAAGAACGAGTCAGGTCCTGGTGACAAAATTTGCTCGGTAGATTTGCGTGTCTGCCGCTTATTAACGATAATCACGATAACGTTGTGTGTCAATCGTGAAGAGGAGCAGCGTCAGTCGGCCGACGACGATAGCTTGGCCAGAGGTCAGGCCGCGTGCACTAATGCCTTGCAACACTGCGGGGGGCGATGTGCATGAGCAAGGTGCATGATCAGTCAACGACAATGAGGTAAGTACGGATGGTAACGCAGATTAGGATGATCCTCGACGAACACTGGCGGAGACCTACTTCTTCCACGTGTCTCTTTCGCGGCTCTTTCTAGCAACGCACCCTCCCCCACCATCCTCTGCATAATGCACGCATCCGTCCAACGAGTCAATTCAGGAAGCTTAGATCGTTCAGCTGTAGATTAGTTGAACCGTGCAGTTGAACCGCATATA